ATCATGTGCTGAAAATCAGATCTTATCTTCACGTGCGAATCCACGCTGCCGGGACGATGAGAGGAAGAGTGAGGCATTGGGGGTGGAGGATGTTTGGCCTGGAAATATTTGAATGAAAACTCTCCCCTCCAACAGGCTCATAACAGACGTCCCTGTTTGAAGGATTTAACCTGAATCAGCTTCATATACAGCATTTTTTGAATGTGTCTCAACTGACTTTAGACCAGTTTGTTTTCAATTTTTCAGCAAATTAAATTAGAAAGAAAAACAATTTTTTTCCCCAGCAGAAGTTTCTGCCAGGGCCTTGAGCTACATATTTAGTGCAAAACAATTCAGCAGGCACATGTAGTATAATAATAATAATAATAATAATAATAATAATAATAATAATAATAATAATACTAGGGCACTGGCTAATAGAGAACATTGATCACACTAAACAGAGCTATTGTTGGAGGTTTAATGTGCATCAAAAGTAAATCTGTTTTGGTTGTGGCAGGTTTACACTGTTCGTGCACATCTCTAATCCCTTTTAAATCTTTATGCACTCATATAAATCCCAAAGATGCCCTCCAGTTTCATAAATGTGTGTCTCACATGTCAATTACTTCATTTACACCAAAGCGATGCTCTACAGATGCACCAGTGCCTAATGATAAGAAATCAAGTAACAACAACAACTCACAATCCTCAGCAGATACCAATGTTATACCTTAAACAGAACAGGAAATGTGTTTTTCAAGCTTTATATTTATTTGTTTTAGTTTTTTTTGTAATATTTATGCTACATTTCATCCAGTTACTTCTCAAACTGCACTCAGGGTTCAGTGAGTTTTAGCTACAAGCAAACATTTAATGTTTTTAAACCGATCTGGGGTTTTCTTTAGTATAAACAGATGTATGATCCCTTTAATTGATAAAAGCTGGCACCTGATGTGTTTGTATGAGTACAATCAATGTGGGAGCAGCTACAAATACTGCTCAATAGCACTACTAGTGGACTACTACTAGAACTTTACAGTCAAACTCTAAGGTTTGAGCTATTCAAATGCAATGGAGTTATTATAGGACAACAGTATGGGCAAAAATGATCATAGTAAATCTTTGGATTTTCCCTTTTAGCCCTGGTGCATCCATAGGCCGCTCCACTGCAGCTGCCTCCGTCCATAAAGATACTTTTTATTCACATTGTTGACTTCTACTAGTTACAGAGTAGCTGCTTCACTCTTTTAAAGCTTAAGGGTAAAATGTGAAAGGCAAAAGTAGATAAGGACAATAAAAAAAGAGAGAGAACAAAATAAACCCAGTTCACTGGCAGCTGCAGACGCCTCGTCAGGATGCTGCAGCGCTTGCATTTGGTTGCATGGAGGCGCAGGCTCAGTAATGTGACGGCTACTTTACTTGATTGTAACAAAATCTGAAAGCAGCTCTAGTCTGGAAATCCTGTCAGTGAAGGAGAAACTCTTAACCAACAGGAGGACAAAACGTGGTGACTGTGGAAATGTCACATGACTGAGTCTGCCTGGGCGTCATTGGTCAGGTTTTAGCTACTTTCAGAGTAAAAGGAAAGCAGAATAAGCTTTCCTGTGTTGGCAGTAAATCAGAAAGTTTTAAATATTATGATTGCAGTGAAGGGATTTTTCCCATTCAGGAGTTGGAAAATAATAAAGGAGTGTGATGCAAAAAGTGTGCCTCACATACAGGGCTCCACCTCATTATCCCATGAGTCACAGCTGAGCAGATTGCTAACAGAGCTGCACCGCAGAGGGTTTCCATGCTGTTCAGTACCTCAGTCTCAGCCCGTTTGGTTAAAACAGGCAATTTAAGAATTTAAAGTAATGTGTTGCATCGCTCAGGGTGTCGTTTTTTGTTTGTTTGTTTTTTGCAATGTCTCACTCTTAACATGACACAGCAGGGATTTTTCCACTAGCCCCAGAGGTTTTAGTTCCTCTGTAAGCCAGCAGCATGAACACACTGACACCTTATATTCAGGATTCATGGCTTTCTTAGGGATGGTTATGCATGCTTCAGTGCAGGGTTTTATCACTTAGGCAAGGAAATAATAATAAGTTAATTAAAAAAAAAAAAAAATCCAATGGTAAAACATTTACGTCTTCTTACCACTGGAGCCTTTACCTTATTATTATGAACCAAATGCACCGTTAACGTCACCAACTGAGGTAAGTCTTTGCTTAAAGAAGAAGAGGAAGGGTATAAATGGGAATGGTGAGAGAAAGACGATATCAAGAGAAGCCAAAAGAGGTAGCTCACTTCTTCACTTCCCCCTCATTTCAAAAGCATGGGAGAAAACTATTAACAGCTTGGCCACAAGGTGGAGCCGCTGTTCTCTTAAAAATTCCACCTTCCACAAAGTGACCTCTCAGACAAACCTCAGCGTTCAGCTCAGACGCCCATAGAAGCTTGTTGCCATCACTTAAAAAAACAAACAAAAAAAAACAAACAAAAAACTTTTTGCTACCTGTAACTTAAAAATCTGAGTTATAATCTCAAAATTTCAAGTTATTTTCTCATAAGTTTGAGTTAGTGAGACCAGAGATTATAGCCCAAAATGGTGATTTATAGATGGCAAGACCTTGTTTTCTTCTGTAGGCACCTTCATCGTCATCGCTGAACACTGTTTATCTCCATTTATCTGTGAGGGTTTGTAGCAAAAAACAAAAACAAAAACCAAGACATACTAAAGTGTCCCTTAGGGAAAACACGCAGAGGTCCCACTTGAACATTTTTCACATACCACCTGATTTTTGTGGGTTATTTTTAATAACAGGTGCAGGAACGACAGGGGTGAAGTTTGTGACCTTTGGTAAAAGTATAGAGTAAAAAACAACAAAAAACAACAGGTGTGGTGCTTTGAGTACAAGAGAGTAAATTCCTGTTCATTCACTGTCGTATTTCCCAGAGGCTTTTACAACCTGGCAGGACAAAGAAAAAAAAAAACATCTTGAGGATGTTTTGAACACATCTGAAACAAACCTAAGATACTTCATAGACCCACACAGCAGCAACACCTTCATGAACAGTTTTCTCAGTATGAAAATGGGAGAGCGTTGAGTAAGAGACTGCAGTTAAATAAATACAAAGCAGCGTTGGCAACCGACTGTTAACTCGAAATATAAAGTAGAAAAAGTCAAAAAAGAAACAAAAACTATACATAGTAGGTTTCTCCTCTTTTCCTAGCTGTCCTCGAATGCACCGTATGTTTCCTCCTTAGCGGACCAAAATCTTAGAGGGAGACGACTCCCCTCATACAATCATCTCACAGGAGAACAGGGGCCCCGAGTCCAGCAGGTAAACCTGCTGCCCTGTTGGTCTTTTTCCGTGGCATGAACGAGAGAGTGTGTGTGGAGAGACGGAGAGAAAGAGATAGAGAGATGTTTCAGTTCGTCTCACTCGTTTTGTCTTCAGTCTGTTTGTCCTGGAGGAGAGTTATGAGCGACTCCCACGCTGCCTGGCACTGCGCAGGGCGGAGAAGGACGAAGAGTCGGCCGACGTGGGGAAAGAATGAGGTAAAAGGGAAAGATTGGAATTATTTAGGTGAGTTCTGAGGCTGCTCTGAAAGATTTATGTTTGTAAAAGTCATGTTTTCACAGTGAGAGCTCAGAAATCTGTATAGTGATTCCACACATCTGCCACAGAGGCTGCTGAGGATCTACCAGATAATAAAAAAAAGTCAGATGGCTCTAGCACTCACACATGAGTACAAAACAGTCTCTACGGGCTAATGAGCGAATGCGCTTGAACAGTTTCAGAGAAATTTCAGGGAGGATAAGGCTAACAAACTAAATACTGTTTGTTATTTTTATGCATTGAAAAATAAACATACACAAGATCATGAGATCATGAGAAGAACAAATAAACAACCTTTGTAATTAAAGCACATGAAAGAAACAAGATGAGAATTTGTAGTCCATCTTCTTGAGATCATTATATTGTTAGCAAGTCTTTCACACCTTTCCTAGGCCTCATGACATCCTACAGTTGTAGTCAAGAAAACGGGACAGGAGGTAATTATGTGGACTGACTGCACGCCTGCTCATCCTAAGCATGTGCGTTTTCCACGTAGAGAAAACCAAAAACAAGGTGAGAGTTGTGCGTAATCAGTGCAACGACGGCGACCAACAGTTAAAGTTCATTTATAGTAATACTGAGTTGTGCTCGCATCATTAAATAATATTTCTCTAGTCTACATAAACTTTTTTTTAAACTCAAATAATAAGAAACTGAAAAAATGAACCTGTTTTTTATATCTTAAATTAAGTGCAGACTCTGTACGCATGAATAGATGGGATCACTTTGGAGAGAGGTTAGTGTTTGTCTTCTTGTCATCTGTTGACCCTCCCCCCCCCCTGACAGCTGCACATCATTTAGCGTCTCCCTAACTGCTCCACTGTTTTCAGTCTTTATACCACTATAAAACTGGAAACACTGGTATCAGTGGGAGTGTCTCCGGTGACCTTTAAGAACAGCTCGTGTGCTGCCTGAGGCTAAAAGCTGGAGTGTTTTTACAGAAATTACACAGGCGTACCTTTTCATAATGGGTGACGTTTTTGTCGGCCATGCCGGTGAGAAGCTGCTTGAAGTCTTGTCTCTTGTTGCTCTGCCAGCGCTCCCAGTCTGCCTTCAGGTCAGCGTTGAAACACTCCATTTTGTCCTGGCATTTCTCTACCTCCGCTGGTATCTGGTATAACACAAACAACATCAGCTACAGGAGCCATAGGGGACATAATACAGGACTAATTTACAGGACAAGAATCACAAACAACATCGCCGCTCGAGCGGTGCAGGAGCGTTGGTGGAGATGGGGTGTGTATTAAATCCTGTGATGTTTGTATGGGCAAAAGATAAAAATGAACAACTTTATTTAACATCCGACAAATCTAACCTGGTCACCTGAAGAATGATCTCTTAACTTGTAATTTATTAAGTTTTCAATTCTAAGAATGCCAGTGAAAAGTAAAGACGCTCCCAGAAGTGACAAATGCAGAAACGGCAGATTCAGATGAAAGGAAGGGGAAGGCTCACGGGCGTTCTGTCCTCTTGTTTGCGCAATACGGCTGCTTCTAGACGGCCTTCGTACTCCGCTTGGCTCTGGTCTCGCTTCCTTAAAACATTCTGTAAACAGACAGAGAAGGTCATACGTTTTATTTTGCACCCTTAATGTGACACTGTCCGAAGTATTTTATAAGAAAGACAACATGTGCAAACTGTTAAACTGAGACAGAGATGCTGAATCAGGAGCTTGGCGAGGACAGGACATGACACATGCAGAATCTCACACCATACTTCCTCTATTCAGGTTCAAAGGTGATGAAAGCAGTCGCTGCTCGACTGTGTGCAGGCAGAAGGACTCGCACTTTATGCTGTTCTGGGTAAATTTCTGCCCCCGCGTATCTTCCTTATGTTCTCCGCTATAAATAAATGAAACTAATCCACGGTTAAACATTACACATTTTTAAGCTTGTGCCTGCGAACCGAGCAGAACTGCCGTTTCCACTCTTTTCCATCCAAAACCTATAAATGTGTTTACAGTGGAAAACTTCAGTAGAACTTTCCTCTGCTAATTTTAGCTCAGCAAACCAGACATCTTTTTTTCTTTTTAGTTTGGAAAGAAACAGGCAAAAATATTTTAATTTCACATAAGTTTGCTTCTTTTTGTCACTAGGTTTGAGACAATGACACGGTTTTTGTAGTTTTGCCTCTCTCTGCCTGCACAGTCGAGATGTGGTTGAAGTGCAGATGTTCTGCTTTAATTCTGGTTTAACAAAATAACTGTTGAGGAATATTGCTATGTTTATACACAGACCCCACATCTCCACAGGCTCAAAACTAACTGGACAAGCTAACATCATTTTATGAGGATTGTCATGAAACCCTTTTGCAGTCAATGACCACCCAAAGTGTAGAACCTATGGATATCACAAAAAGCTGTGTTTCCCTTCCAGGCCTTTATTTTATCCTTCAGTGGGTTTTTTGCCTTCAGTAACTGAAAAGCACGCTCTGGAGTGACATCAGGTTGACTTTTAAAAACATTCCCTTTCTTTGCCTTGAGAAACCCCCTGGTTGTTTTGCTTTGCGTCATTATCCATTTGTACTGTTAAACACTGTCTGATCAGTTCTGCCCCATTTTGCTGAGTGTACGGCCCTGTATGACTCCCAATTCACCCTGCTCGTCTATCAGCAGCATCAATACACATTAGTGCCCTGGTTTCACAGGCAGCCATAACAGATGATGTTGTATGCTCCAGGTCAGGAGCTGTTTTTGTTTCACTTCCCATCATCCCATCATTCTGGTAAACGGTTCATCTATGCAAAGAAGTTTTTTGGCCAATACTAATCTGGTCCTCGTGCTCCAGAGTGTAACCAGTGGTTTGCGTCTTGTTGTAAACCCTCTTTATTTACACTCATGAAGGCATCTCTTGATTTTAGACCTTGACAATGATGTACGCACCATCTCAAGAGTGTTCTTGGCTTAGTTAGATGTTGTGAAGGGAGGTTTTCTTGGCCATGGAAATAATTCTGTCATCATCGACTTCAGTTGTTTTCTGTGCTCTTTCGGGTCTTTTGGTTTTGATGAGCTTGCCAGGGCTTTCATTCTTTTCAAGCAAGTTAAGCAACTCTCTCGCTTTGTCTTTTCAGCCTAACAATCGCTTTTTTCACTTGCATATCTCTTTGGACTTCATGTTGATCTTTTATCTGTCATGAAATAACAAGAGAACAGGCCTCATCTGGCCATGAATGTTATCATCAGCCAATTAATTACTATGAGTTAGTATAAAATGTCCAAAAAATTCTAAACAGTTAACGCTAAATTTTTGTTTAACCTACACCCGGGGACTAATTAGCAGAAATTAGAACACTTTATTTTGTTCCCTTTTCTTGACACATCAAGCAGACGTTACACGTTTTTAGTGCCACCAACTCCCTACCTTCATTGATTCGATGTAGAGAATGTATTCTCTGAGCACGGGTAGAAAGTCCTGGCCCATGTTCTCGCTCATGTCCTCCAGCGCGCCGCAGCACGTCGTCACACAGCCAGCCACGCCCTCCAGAGGGCGCTGCAGCTCCTCCTCTGACCCCGCCCAACTGGCATAGACTGTACCATACTCTCGTAGCTCAGTTAGATACTCTAGTCGAGAGATGGGGTGAAAGAGTTGGTTAGGTCAGATCTGACTTCTTAAAGTCAGAGTTACTGCAGAGTACTAGTGCTGGGAAATAAATCACAGCAAAGCCACAAGCATAGTTTTTTTTTTACACTATTGTTTTTAACTTATTTTCTGTACAGCACTTTGGTCTTGTGCTGGGTATTTTAAAGTGCTTTATAAAAAAAATTGGATTGGATTACACTCCATCACCTCACAGGTCTTTATTATTTACAGTCATCAGTTTCCATCTTATCTCCTCTAACAAGGCCGCCGCGGACAGCCACTGGTCTACAACTTGAACAGATGGTGCCGAGCAGCACTTCACGTGGCTGGTGGCAGTTATTTACACAGTCACTTTTCATGCATGAGTTAGGCCTGCAGTTATCAACCACAAGGCCCAAAGGTCTGTGGATTCCTCTTCAAACAAACACACTCCACAGTCAATACTGCATATCAACTCATCCTAAAACTCATTGCTTGTGTCCCCGGTACAGACTGGACGATCGCACATGAAATTCAAACGCCGATGCTACAAAATGCTACCAGCAAAATGGCCAAGAAACGTAATATAAAGAGCAAGCTCCAATGCACTATATGCACTCGTTGCTTGCTGGTGCCTAAAATACACATTTGGAAGAAGTAGCCTCGATGAAGTTCATCTGTAACCACAAGCACAGTGGTAAACATACAAATAGCTCCTCTATAGTCACTGAGGCTACGCTGCAAAGAGCACAGCACCATATGAATTTGGCTGCTTCCTGCGTGTGCCTAAAATACACGAATGGGGTAAGCAACTCTAGAGAATTTAACTCTTTATCCAGCCATAGTGCTTTATACATCTAAGGGTCAGCATGGAGTTTAATATATTTGGTAAAATAAAAACATCCTATACAAACGAAAGCTTCTCTTCTGGTTTTTAGCTTCTTCTTTTTTTTTTATGATTCAGCATAATTATTTCTCCTTTTGTGGGTTTAATTTAGAATGGAAAAAAATAGATAAACAGTTCACCATATGTAACAGCAAAGGTGTCGGGGACTTTTGATGATGATACGAGCCTCCTACGCCTCCTACATGAGGTATTTCAGGCATGTCCAGCTAAGAGAAGACCACTGGCCAGCCAGGACACTCTGAATAGGTTATGTCTCCCTGGCTAGCCTACAAACACCTCAGATTCTCTCCAGAAAAGCTGGGCAGGTGACTGATGAAAGGCATGTAAGAGCATCTGTGCTCAGACTTCTCTGGAAAATAGATGAAGGAGGAAGAATTATCATGCTTAAATAATATTTCCTCGGCCCCTTACCTGATTGCTCTTTGAGGATCCTCTGAGCGATCCGGTCGATGGTTCCCAGTTTCTGGTTAAAGGTGTCCAGGTACTCTCCCATGGCGCAGAACTCAGGAGGTCGCACTCGCAGCTTGTAGCCTCCAGCCACGTTCTTCACAGACTCACCCACTTTGGATAGCAGGGCCAGACCCTGACGTTTGTTGAGGTCCTGCGAGCAACAGCATGATCTTGATATAAATAGGCAGCCACATAAGTTTCAAAAGGTTAGACAGTAAAGAAAATATGATGGTAATCGTGTCTCCTCTCCTCTTCTCAGTGGAGATCGAGTATTGGTGGCGATTAAGACCATTTGAAGGTCTTTCGTCTTAAAGAGAGCAACAAAAACTTTGCTTAAAGACATTTTAAGCAAGGAAATAAGAGGTCTAAATTTTGTGGTTTTATATTTTTCTGAAAGCTTACAGCTGAGGTTGAGCCTTTTGAATTTTCATTTATCACGCAACAGCACTCATGATTTTCCTTTCCTTTTGACCTATATTCATATATTAGTGGATCTGCTTTTCTTCATGGGAGACCCCCATCTCACCTTGGCAGACAGGAAAGCATTTAGATGAGGGTTGAAGGAGAGGACGGGGTGGTCTGCAACTCGTTTCAGGAACTTGTCCAGGGCCTTCATCCTCGTCTCCACAAACTCCTCGGAAAAACGATCGACCACGCCCTTCATCACAAACTTCTCTGGTAACGGCTGGAGATGGGAGGACGACGGCAGAGCGGGGACAAGACCGGCGACAAGACCGGAGTGCAAAAGAGAGCGTGAGAGGTTTCTAATTGGCAAGTGGCACAGCTGGTTGCAACAAAGCTCGTGTAACCTACTGGGATGAGGTGGGTCGGCTGGCTGTCCTCCAGCTTGGTCCTCAGCCAGTCAAAGTCCTGATAGCGCCGCCGAACAGAGTAGTCCGGCAGGTCAAACTCTATCCGTGTTGTCTGAGGAAGAACACACACAAACATTTCTAAATGAAATTCTTCATATAAAAAAAAGGAAGAAAGAGCTAGAAAAATCCAGCATGTGACAAGGTGGTAAAGTCAAACAGGTCCATGAACGCAGCCTTTTGTGGCCGAGTAAATTTTACACCGTTTGTGAGTTATTTTGTAACAGTTTAAGTTAATTTAGAAAGAAAGAAATGGGAAAATCATTTAGTATTCACACTAGGCAGTGCATGTGTACACACACAAAAATGCACTTCCTGTCTCTCTGAACATCAAGGGTCAAAGGTTGCTTGGACATGTCTCCCCACTGAATCGGTTTATGTCATTAAGCGCTGAAGAAAAAAAAAACAAAAAACAAAAAACAGAGGATCCACCCGCTAAACACAAGTTACAGAATCTCCCTTGCGGAATATCATTTTCCAGGAAAGGTTCATGTATCTGAAACGACCCGTTTTATCAGGACACAAGCAAATTCAGGTCTAACCGGTTCATTCCATCTCAAATAAATTATTTAAACATTTTCTGCACAACCACCTCTGATTTACTTGAAACCTTTATGGTTTTAAAATGTGGACATACATACATTGTGAAATTTTAGCCTCATATATCAAATATTTTTCTAGATTTTTATTTTCGGGCTTACCCTCCTTCTCGCGAAACCCGCAAAATAAATTGCACCAGGCAATCTGTCACATAATTGTCCCTTTGTTTCACTGTGGGTTCAGAATTTGGTGTCCATGCCTTTCTAACAATGGACAATGCAATAACAACAGCTTTACAAACAAAAAACTCATATACACATAAAAGTGTAGATTTAACAGATTTAACACATGATTTCTGCTCCAGCATCCATTTCTCTCTTTGTCTGGAGGTGGCAACATTCTCTTGCCTGCTGCTGCTCCTGTGACAAAAGCTGGCAACTATAACTAATGTACATTTCTACATCACAGTATTTTTGAGATAAAACATCAGTGTGTCTGTGGCTTTAAACTGGAGGTTAACAACAGCAATCTCTTAAAACATCTCTTAAAACAGCAGAAATTAAGAGATGTGAAAACTGAATTTAGAAAAAAAAAAAGGGGGGGCTCAGTGATTAAACAGACAAAATACACCCACTGCAATATATAAGAGTCTATGAGCTGTCACCATGTAACCTTTCACAGCTTCATCAAGAAAAGCCTGATTCCTATCTACACATCTTAAGTTGTTAAAGTGCTCTGTGGACAAAGCCCATGCAAATGTGTCAAGTGTATTTTCCTCTGTTTACATCCTTGTTAGGTAGCTTCCCTACCTGTGCTGCTGCACTGCTACACAGTCATAAAAACAATGCACTGCAAGTCAAAAACACCACAGAGTATCTTTAACTTACACCTTCCTCACTGGTATGTTTTTCTAATTAAATATTCATTTTAACACTACAGCACAGCATTTTTCAGAACCTCCAGCAGCTGCATTAAAGCTCTGCACCATCATTAAATGCAGGTCGAAGAAAAAAGGAAAAAAAAATACAAGAAAACACTAAATAAAAGTTTAATTAAGCAATTATTTTCTATAAAATAAAACAGAGTTTGTTCACATTATCATGACACCAGCCTGTAGCAGACCTTGGTGGAGACTCTGTAAGTGATGTAGGTCTCCATGGTGGAGACGTGTTTCTTTGGGTCGTCGACAGTGACGAAAAGGTCGTGGGTTTCTGTGTCGGCGTAGGGGTCCCTGCCATCTGAGTCCAAGTCGTCGTCCAGCTGCAGCCTGTTGAACAGCACGGACGCAGAAGCCGGACTCGGCGTCTCAACCGGCGTCCCGTTGGTCAGTCCCACTTCCTGCATGTGAACAGATAACCACAACATCATGACACCAAAATACAGATGCTGCACTCTGCAAACAAAGAGTAAAACACAGATCCCGATGCTGCCACTGCAGTTTTTTTCCCTCTCTGTCAATGGCGCTCTTGTTAGGCCCGTGCAAACATCCTACATCTCCTACACTGTCCTAACTGAATGATGGATAATGGGAGGGAAACAAACAGCTCTGGCATGAAATACTGAGAATTTTTTTTTATCTTATCTTCCAAGTAAATATATAAAAGTCACTGCTTTCCAAGGGCCTTACTTAAGAAATAATAGTTTAGAAGACTAACTAAGAGGTGCTGCTAACAGTAGAGGTGCAGTCTCAGGAGTGCACTGGGCCAATATCCCGCACTGCATGTTGGGAGAAAATTGATCATGAATTATTAAAGCTGTACTGGCATGGAATTGAAGTTGAGAAGATTTTAATGCTGTTCTATTATCTTTTTGTTGAGCACTTTTGGATGCATATTGCAGGAAAACGCCTGTATTCTTTTATTTTTATTTATTAGTCCTTTATTTATCCAGGTAAAAAAAATCTCATTTCCAAGAGAGACCTGGCATCATGGCAACAAAAGTCAAAATACATGTACCACATAAGTATATAACACTTAAAACAAATACAATATCCCATACAAACATGTGAAAAATATACAATAACAGATCAAATTAAGAGCGACATTAAAAACAATCACATTGAGTAAAAGAGTTATTCTCTCGTTCCTTTAAGATGGACTTAAACTCCCCCAAGGTAACCAATTCTGATACTTTCAGTTCCTTCTCCAGATTCAGATCCAGGAAGCAGGGGCAGCGTATCTAAAAGCCTTTTCCCCCAATTCTGTTCTGATTCTTGTCTAGAAACATGTAAATAAGGGGTGAAAATATCAGTGGTGCAACCAAAAACTGCACAAAGGATCATTTTTGTTAGCAGGAAACAACATAACACAAACAGTTTTATTATGGACCGCTGGAATGAGGACTTGTAATGTAACATTTGATTTTCTGTGAACTTCTGGTGACAAATCTCAGCAGCTGTCAGAGTCTTCTATGGCATCACATAAGAAAAGGAACTACTTTCGTTGTGTGAGAGGCTCATGTTCAAGCACAATTACCTTTTCTTTAAAAAGAAAAAGAAAAAAAGAAAAAGAGGGTCTGTGGATAAATTTCTACTTCAATCGCTGTCAAAAGAAGTGCTTTCCCTCAGTTTGTCCACACAGTTTCTTCACACTGCTTTCACTCATTGCTGTGCACACAGGAAACACACACACGGGCGCTGATGCTGTAAATTCTCTCTTTTTTTTTTAAACACTTTGGTGCTAACCTGCTTTGGTAATCACAGTTGAGATAATTGCATTGGGCTGATGTTAATAAGCAACAGGAGAGTCCAGTACGCACTGACAGTGAGGAGGAAAATAAGAAAACTGTATGTGTCTAACAGACACGGCAGAGCTGACAGATGTTTGTGACAACCAGTCCCGGCATTGTGGCCAATCAGCAGATATTTAGAGCACAGGTGTTACTAAATACATCAAGTGCCACGACAGCATGTCAGTGAGTCACCAAGCACCGAATGGAATTTAACCCTCACCATCATCAATGTAATATTTCCACCTGAGCTTTTTTTTGTTATGGACATGTTTACATATTTTAAACACTTATGGTCACGCCTAAAATATGAACTTGCCAACTTAAAAAAAATTATACATGTTTATGTTAACACAAACTACCTGTGCCTGTTTTTGCAGGTTAAAGCTGCAGCAAGTAGGACCTATGCTGCTGTGATCAGTTGTTTTGCTGTCCCAATGCCTGCAATTGTGCCACTTGTGAACTTGCTAAATTTGCTCATGCAACCACTTTCATACTCTCTCTCAGACCTCAAAGTGACACAATGTAAATCCTTGCTTTGTCCTATCAACAGCCCAGACCTCAAAATAATCAAATGAACATCAAAATCAGTAATAAAGAAAATGTGCACTTCAATTTTTATGTGACTGATCCAATCTAGCACCACTTTCATACCCCTCCCTACAGACCAACATGGGCACACGCCTATTAGATAAATCTGTTGCATCGGTACACACACCGACAGATGCAATTGGGATTTTTAATCATAAAAGAAAGCCTCCATCTGTCATTATCTTTTTATACATATGATGTGTTATTGCTCACCTGCCCACCCTCAAATTTTTTTGCCGTGGATGTTTGTGTATTTTTCAAGATTGGGCGTCCATCTCCCCCACAGACTTTGGGATCGAACCTTTGACTCATCACATTTGCGTTTGTCCACTCTACCTGAGTGAATTCTACTTCCTTTGCACTTTTTTGCTCTTTGTACTGTTCACCTGATCTGGTCTGAAACAGCCTGTGATTGTCCAAAGTCTTCCATCATTGACCAGAGTTTATGAAGCCTGAAAACAGACAGCAAGGGAGGTGCAGGAGTCCAGTTCCCTTTTGATTAGTTCCCACTCAGACCACTTGAGCTGCAGTATGCTTAATGGGTTATTGTGGTGTTTGTTTCCTACAGCTTCTTTAAGGAACTAAAAGCACCCTTAGGCATGCAATTTCGGTGTTTAACATTATACACCAGATCCTAAGAAAAATAAGATCTCTTATCTAAATAGAATGATATTAGACCTGCTCTGGAGCCTGTGGCATTTCCATTTTGTTAAAATGACTGGACAAATGGTTTGACAGGAGCCAGACCCATTTGGCCTGGGTAATCATGTACAAGGAAAAGCCACAACCATAATGATGCCAAGAAGCTTCATATTGGCAGTATTACAGCATCTCCTGTAGGCAATAATTAACCTCAGTATCAAAGTGGTTGCTACAGTTGTTACTACAGTAAACACAGCAGCAGCAGAAGCAGGGAGAATAAAAGCCATGTGATATGCTTGGATGGCCCAACTTTGTTTACTCAGCTCACCGGGGTTGAGATGGATGCCATGCCCACGTACACACATAATCCATCTTAAATACGGTTTTACTTGCGAGTTTGTGTCGATTAATTTGGGCAAGATATCCAAACTAGGTGAATTTGCTGTTTCAGCACTGGTTTAGTGGCAGACTCAGAGGGTTCAGCCATGTGCTCTAAAACCTCAAATGCAAACAGAAATGAGTGTTTTCCAAAGTTTCCTCTTTAAACTTGCATCGGTTTTCTCCTACTTATTAACAGGGGGAATGATAAACACTGGCGTCAGCCGTAAAACACTTTAATCAAAGAGGGGTTTTGTTTGGGTAAGCGTCCTCTTTCCATCCCCCACCGTCGGTGAAGCCCCATCAGATCCTACCTTATCCCTTCCACCGCTGACGGTGACATCTGGCCCGGGGGAGAGCGGCTCCTCGGCGGCGGACAGCGGGTGGAGAATCTCCGTGATGGGCTTTTGCCCCGAGCTGGCCAGGCCTCTCGGAGCGCTGATACTCATTGCGTGGAAGGCGGGAAGACGTGGCCGGGTATCTAAGGAGGTAACGGCTGTCCGTTTCTCCGCGGCCGTTACGGTTCTGGAGACAAAAAAGAGGCTTTCCCCCCCTCCTCCGTTCAGGGTCTCTTCAGCTGAGATGTTTCACTGGTTGCTTGACCACAACTGTCAGCTGACTCCTACTGCGCAGTTCCGGAAGTTAAACGAGAAGAACCTGGATGTAAACATGTCAGTCACGTGACAAATGACGATGGAATCGCTGAAGATCGTCTACTAAGAAGATGTACGAACAGATTTGCAAGCAGATTTATATTTTACAGAAATACATGAAGAAACAAAACAGGTTATAGTTTACAAATGGCCCAGGAAAAAAAACACAAGAAGCTAAGTCAAAATTTTAAATTATTACTATATCAAAATTGCAGGTTATTGTCCTCAGATTTCAGGTTATCTCAAATTTTTAAGTTATATGCCTCAGAGTTTTGAGTTATTATGTCAGAATTCCCACTATGTCTGAAAATTTCAAGTAATGTATCTCAAAATGTCTTGTTACTATCCCAAATTCTTATTTAAATATAAAGAAATCAATTAGTTGATTATATATATATATATATATATATATATATATATATATATATATATATATATATATATATATATATATATATACTTTTTTAAATTTCCTGAATAAAGGCAGAGTGGGTCCTCTTTCCTTTGCAGTCTTTTGTAATTGTGAAACCGGTACACGCGTTTAAGAAACAAAAATGCGGTGATGCACAGATACACAGTCGAGAGTTTTATCGTCTGTTACGAAGACACTTGCTGAGGTGTCCATCACCAAGTCCTCCTGTATGGTCTATTCTCTCTAACTAACTTACATTAATCACCGTTGAGGACTTTTACCGATGAGCAGTTTCCAGTAGCGTCGAAACAATCGCAGCGGGAAGGAAACACCAAGCATTTGACCGTTAATATAACCTGTTTGGGGTTTTTTGGTGTCCGCTGTTGACCTCTCCGACTCTCTGAGATGACTACTAATCCTCCAGGACAAGGTAATTCATTTGTTTTGGGTCATTTAAGTTCTTGAGAATCGGCTGCTGAATACAGGGGCGTAACTACCAGCTCTGGATACCCTGAAACAGCCCCCTCCATGAGGGAGGAATAGGGCAAGAACCTCGAAGAATGGGAAGCGGATTTATCAGTTAACTTAGACCAAAACTTCTGGTCTCAGATATGCTTAAAAACCTTTTATTTAATTAGAAATCCCAGTCTTCAATTAATTCAATACAAAATACTACATAGAGTGCACTATACAGGTCATCGGATGTTCAAGATGGGCTTTACGTCTACCAACAACTGCTCACACTGTCAAACCAATACACCGGACAATTATATCCACGCTCTTTGGTTCTGTCCACCAGTTCAGAAGTTTTGGCGCGAGATATGTGAAGACTTATCAAAGTGTCTGAAATGTAACATTCCAATTTCCCCTTTAGTGTGTTTGTTGGGCAGCTTAGATAATGTCACTACAGAAAAGAATATCGCCCACATGGTTTTCACTGCCCTATGCATAGCCAAGAAAACAGTCCTCATGAACTGGAAAAATAAAAATAATCTTAATTCTAACCAATATAGAAATTATCTAATAGGTTACATTAGTCTTGATACAGCCTCTGCCACCACATCAGATCAATTGCTCTGGGCTCCTTTGATCAGCTCCATCACCTAGTGGGGGTGGGGGGGTCATAGTTTGGTCCTACCTTCGCCGTTGTGATTGGTGTGGGGGTAGGGACAGGCTTGGGGCGTCGGGGGGTTCCCCAGAAGCGTCTTCCTTGGAGGGCCCAACCCCGGGTTGCGGTCATGGCCTGTTAAGGGCTCTGTTGGCTCTTAGGTGACTGTTTCCTCGTGGCTGCGTGCAGCGGGGCTAGGGCAGGGTCTGTGCTGACGGACGTGGGTTACTGACCTGGGAGCCTGGCTGTCCCTGGTTGTGTCCAGGGCAGGCGGGGTTCTGGGGGTGCTCGTCTCTGGGCTGGGGCCATGGCTGGGCCTTGGGGGCTTGGGTCCTGGTTGGTGTGTCGCCAGGGTTGTGGGTGTGTGGGTGCATGGGGGCCCAGCCCTGGAACAGGGTGCCGCCGGTGCATCAAGCCACCTGGGGGGCTCTTCAACTGGTGGGGGAGGCTTTTACATCTTACAGGATGTCTCCTCTCTCCAGGAAGTGACTCTGCAGGTGGGGAGAGATATAGGAGAGGTGGAGGAAGATCTCAGCCTGGGTGTCTATTGTCTTGTGTAGTCTGGAAGATAAGTGGAAGACGGGGTGGGTGCAGTTTTCTCTGCGGTGGGGTCAGGTGGGCTGCCCCAGGCTCTGTGGGGCCGGGCGGCACTGCTGAACTGGGCCCCCAGTCCGGATGGGCCTGCCTGGGCCCCCTTTCCCTGGTGGGTTGTAGAGTGTGGGGGTGCCTACTGGGGTCAGCAGGGGAGCTGGCCCCAGGGAGGGGCCACTCGCCCCTCCCTTCCTTCCCTCCCCATCTCCAGCTGCCTCCCTCTTCCCGCGCCACCACAATCACCCCCACATGCAGGGCCTTGGGGTAAAGATGTGTCACCAAGGTGCAGGGGAGGCATCCCCCCCGTCCCCTTCTGGCTGCCTGTGCCTCAATTTTATCCCACAACTTAGACATTCACATTACTCACAATCTCATAACACATACATATAGGATCTTGGTGCTGGGCACGCTACACGGAATCCAAAAGACCATCAGGGTGTACACCTCACCCCTGGCGTCGTTGCCCACCTCTCAATTTTAAATACACGTAGACATTGAGGGCTATCAGGAGGGGCTATGCGCTTACCTGCTGCTCTCTGGCAGGTAGCTCCATGCCCTCCTGGGTTTTAAAGGCACCTTAGAACACACATGCATCAACACTACATAAGAGCGGGTGGAGGGAGGTTTGGAGTCTTCTCTCACCCCCGTTCTCTGCAGCCTGTTGGAGCGGGGGGGCTAGGAGGAGTTGGCCGTCCGACTGGGGTCTGGAATGTGGGGCCTCCCTGCTGCTGCTGAGTCGGGGCGGTCTGCCTCTCCCCACCCCAGGGAAAAGGGTAACACCACCTGGGTCTGGGTGCAGTTTCCCCCTCCAGGGGCAGGGGGACCTAGACCCGGGGCTTAGAGTACGCTTGGGGAGTGTGATTGTGTGTACAGTGTCTCTTTATGTCTGTCTCCACGTTGGGTGAGTGCTGAGTAATTGCATATGAGAGCATGAGGGTGGGAATGGATGTTTGTATCTGTGTGTGCCTGTATGTCTGTGTCCATATGTCAGGTTGGGTATCAGACACCACCTCTCTGGGGACATCTCAGGCCCTCCAAGGTTTGGAGGCCTATCTCCCCCCACCACTCCCCCTGCCAGTGGCAGACGCCCTCAGACATCGGTGCGTTGGTGGTTCTTTGTGTTCGGGGATGGGCGTCCAGGTACACACCGGCTCACTTCTGGTGGGTGCTTGTCGGAGCCTGGGGCTCGCTCGGGCTCCTTTGGGGGTGGGGTGCCCTCGGCCTGGGGCTCGGTCACTCTGGCACAGCTGGCTGCAGCGGAGCTTACAGGCACGTCACTGCAACCCCCCCCCTGGCTTCTGCTCCGCGGCTGCTGAGTGAGCCCTCATCTGGGACTCTCCTCAGCTCTTTCTGGGACAGTGGCGCGGCTGCCCCTCTGTTGGTCTTCCTTGGTCTCTTGTGCTCTGGGGGCCTCTGGATGTCTGGAGCCTTGATCTCCTCCATACCTGCTTCATGCCCTGGAGGACGGGGCTGTGGCCACCCCACACCCTCTAGCAGATCATTACATGAAGGAACCTGTTAAATACAAGCGCACTCACGCTCACAGGTGTACACACGGGTGCTCACACACACAAACTACACTCTTTTTGGCTGCTACCTCAAAGCACACTGTGCGCTGTCGATCTTGCGTGCTGCACAATAATGTTTAATATTTAGTATTTACTGTTATCTTCACATAGATCATCGCGATGATGTTGTTTATTATATTGCTCTCTTTTTCTTTGCTTGTTATCTCTTTTTTTCTTTCTCAACAGGTGATCCAGGTGACTGATATGTGTATTTTTTGTCTGTTTGTTTTGTTGGTTTTTGCTCTTTATCACCGCCCCTCTTCCCCGCTCTTTTTCTTTCCCTCTTTCTTTCTCCCTTTTCTTTTCTCCAGTCAAGTCTGTCCCGTGTTCAGCAAATGAAAACAAAATAAACAATAAAAGCAAAGGTGAATCAAATAGACCAATACGGCAAGGCTGGGATGGTCCATTTGGTAAAGTAAATCCATTGGGTGTCTTTCTTTGCCTTTAGACAACAATTCTGATGGCAAAAAAACCAAACGGGACAGTCAAAAAAAAAAAAAGAACCTCCACGATCACAAGAATCATTTTTATTGTGTTTTCTAGTAAATCTTGCTATAAATAAGATCCTAAATAATCTTAAACACTGTTTAGCTTAATCTTTTTGGATGTTTATTCAACATTCAATTGTAATTACCCAAAAACGTGGCCATTATTAGCTGTCCCTTACTCTCTTTTTTTTTGTAATACAGCCTTCCCAAACAAGACCCGGGTGGCTATATTGGCAGAGCTGGAAAAGGAAAGGAGGCGACTGATGCAGAGTCAGTCCATGAATACTCCTGGAGCCAGGTAGGTGTAGTATAGCATAATCCAAGTAACAGAAGGGGGGGGGGTATTAAGTCTGTGTGTAAAGCTTTCCTGGGACATTAGTATGTGTCATGATTTGATGTCCTCGTGTTGGCATTGGTCCTACAACATCATAATTACTGTTGCATATGGACCATCAACTACAACGGTGATGCAAAAACATGAAAGAGGTCATCCAAGGACAGGACACACGCAAGTTATGAAGGTAACTTTGGTTCTGTGAATTCCCAGACATCAAGTTGGATATGTCTCCTTGCACTGCATGCAGGTTGAGATACCATGTTATAGCCTACATCCAGTCTCTAGGAAGCTTCTTGAGCCGAGATGTTCCGAGTGACCAGCATGACTGGCAGTTTCCCGGGAATTCACAGAACCATATTTACCTCTTTCAGTTTAACTCCCACCTCCCTGCCAGTAGCATTAAACAAGATGGCTGGCTTGTATCGGCAGTGCAATAAGGAACAACAGCTGGACACTGTTGTACAGATTTCCCCTTGTGAAACACGTTTCAT